ACTCTTCTCCTCCATCGAGAAGCCATTCCGTCCTTTCCTCAATTCCACCTCTCTCTATTACCTGGTTTCCCTCCTTCACAATTCCGTTATATTTTTTAAGTTTTCTTTTCTATTTTCGATGTTAATTTCGCTTTTCATCTTCGTCTTAATTTGCAGTCGTCTTTGCCGAATGAAGCTGTTTCCGAGAAGGAGAAATCCGGTGTCACCGTAAGCCATATTTTGCTTTCTCTATTTCGTTCATTCTAGCATTCTTTCTGCTTTTAATTTCAGCCATTGTTGAATGGTTTGGACTTTTGATCTGAAGTCAAACGTTTTACAGTGGCCGAAGCAGCTGAATGCTCCGCTTGAGATTGTGGACCCGGAGATTGCTGATATCATTGAGCTTGAGAAAGCGCGGCAATGGAAGGTCTAATATAAGCTAGGTGTAATAAGATTTTTGGGATTATCTATGTGTTAGGATTGATGAATTTGCTACTGGTGCTTTGTTTTCATTTCTATTTGGAGCATTTGGAATTGTTAAGATTTCATTTCATGTCTTTGTGAATGAACTTGAGTGTTTTTGAAGGGACTTGAACTCATACCATCTGAGAACTTCACTTCAGTGTCGGTGATGCAAGCAGTTGGGTCTGTCATGACCAACAAATACAGTGAAGGGTATCCAGGTGCAAGATACTATGGAGGGAATGAGTATGTGGATCATTCATGATCAATTCTTTGTGCTCCTTGTGATTTTGTTGATACCATCAATCAGGTAACCATAAATGTTTAATGGGATTTTCACTTTTGACATTTTAGGTACATTGACATGGCAGAGTCCTTGTGTCAAAAGCGAGCTCTGGAAGCTTTCCGGTTGGACCCCGCAAAATGGGGAGGTACCAATGGCAAGATTATCCATACTAAAAAAGCTTCGGGACCTTGTTTCTTCTTTCATAACATATTAATAAAACCTTCTCTTTCATTACTTCTCACGGATACTTGTAGTACAAGAAAAAATCTTAATGGCAAAAAGGGTAGTCTGATGGCTGAGTTTTCTTTGCATCTGATTGTTTATCAGTTTTCTGAGTTTATTCCTTGTCTTGTAGTAAATGTGCAGCCCCTCTCTGGATCTCCAGCTAATTTTCAAGTTTATACTGCACTGTTGAAACCACATGATAGGATCATGGCACTTGATCTCCCACATGGTGGGCATCTTTCTCATGGTTATCAGGTGCCTCCAAATTCCCTATTATTTTTCTGTAGCAGCTAGCTAGTTTTATCTTGATTACAGACAATAGTTTATTAAATTCCACTAGATAGTGTGCTAGACATTGTTTTCTTCAAGCATTAGTAGTTAGGTCAGGTACTTAGAGAAATTACTTGGAATGATTTTTGTTGTTGTTGATGCATGAGTATTTGTTTCTTTAATCATGTTTGTCTTATTTATCAAATTATCTTAGACCTTTTGTCTAAATTTTTTTGCTTCTGTTTAGATACTTTTTCCTATGTTTTTCATTGATGGAACTTAGCTCCAAGGTAGCAAAAATGCATCTTACTGCCCTAGTGACTAGACTTTTGCTGCTAGATTCTTGTCCTTATTTTTGCTGGGTTCTCAAAAAAAATAAGAGGGAACAGCTAGAGAACAATAATCAGAACCCATCTGTTTGACACCATAACTGAAAACCAAAAGACAGTATGAGTTTATAAACATTAAGAAGTACAGCTACTTTTGGACTCGGATGACACCCTAGGGTAACTATTGGAGTCCTGGTTTTTCTCTATAATGCTTTCTAAGCATTTTTTCTGACATAAATGCATATGCTTCCAATTTTCCTCTGTTGTTTGTATAACAAACAGTCTTCCCAATCTTATGCTCTTCGAGGATCTAGGTCAGTTTAAACTCCTTATAGTTTCACTTCTGGAGAAATCTATTTGTTTTGTAGCAATAAATTGTGAATATGTGCTTACTTCTGTTGTTTCTTTTGTGATTGCCCAGACAGACACCAAAAAAATTTCTGCCGTTTTCAATATTCTTTGAGACGATGCCATATCGATTGAATGAGAGCACTGGGTATATTGATTATGACCAGGTAAGTTAGTGGTTTTCATATTGTGGTAATGCTGCTTCTCTTTTACGCTTGCAACATATCTGTAGTTGTTCACTATCTATTATAAAGTCTTTCAAACATTAAAACATGAAATTGCAGTTGGAGAAAAATGCCACCCTCTTCAGGCCAAAATTAATTGTTGCAGGTGCTAGTGCTTACGCACGTCTATATGATTATGCTCGTATTCGGAAGGTAACCTCCATTAGAATGGTCTCAAGAAATCCAATTGGATTGCCATATTTCAGGCTCAGAACTCCTTGTTCCAACTGCATTTGATGTTGCATTTATTATTGAACAGGTTTGTGATAAGCAAAAGGCTATAATGTTGGCAGACATGGCACACATTAGTGGTTTGGTTGCAGCCGGTATCATCCCATCACCTTTTGAATATGCTGATGTTGTGACCACCACTACTCACAAGTCACTCCGTGGGCCTCGTGGAGCCATGATTTTCTTCAGAAAGGGGGTTAAAGAGATTAACAAACAAGGAAAAGAGGTAAGTTTCTGAAAGGAAGAATTACTTGTGGTAATTGTGTTATTTTTTTTTTATTTTGTTGCTGAAATTGAAGTGAAACAGAACATTTACACTTAATTTCCCCTGAAGGTTTTGTATGATTATGAAGACAAAATCAATCAGGCAGTCTTTCCTGGACTTCAAGGCGGTCCTCATAACCACACAATCACTGGTTTGGCAGTTGCATTGAAACAGGTCTGCATGCCAATAAGATAGCTTTCAGCAATATTCTTCCATGCAACTAGGTGATAGTGGGACTATTGCACCTGAATATCCTCCTAATTCTCTGACAAATGCCAAGTGAGAAATTTTTTGTGTGTTTATAATGGTATAATATAAACATATAATTCTAGAGGCAGTGGGAAGGAGTATCTTTCTATCAATGGAAACCATTGGCCTTTGTATTACTTATTGAAACCCAACTTATGGACAATATCATAAAGAATGCTTTTATTCCTTATTCTCTACTGTTAGCTTGTCATTTCACTTTGATGCATTTCATTCTTGTTAAAACAAGCGTTTATAGTTCCTTACTTCCCATGCAGGCTACTACTCCAAAGTACAAGGCCTATCAAGAGCAAGTTCTCAGTAATTGCTCAAAGTTTGCACAGGTACGATTAATTTAGATGTAGCTTAATTGGTTCTTAAACTAGGAATCACCTGTATTATGTTAAATGTATCAGAGGATTTTTTCAATGCTTTCCCTTTGGTTATGTTTATATATTGTGTTGCAAAGAAAGCAAGTACCAATATATACAGGGGGCACACCCCAAGTATGCATTTGATAATTGTATATACCACTCCATCACTAACTGGTTGTCCATACGCTAGTGTTTTTAACTGCTAATATCTTACCTATTTGCAGACTCTTGTCAAAAACGGATATGAACTTGTCTCTGGAGGTACAGAGAATCATCTTGTTTTGGTTAATTTAAAGAACAAGGTGAGATATATGTTATTTGTCCTTACACTTAGAGAAGCTTCACAATCTCAATTCAGAAATCTAGTCTTGTTTAAAGTAAGATAAGATAAAGCTAATCTTTTTAAGAATTTCCTTTTACAGGGTATTGACGGATCCAGGGTTGAAAAGGTGTTGGAAGCTGTTCACATTGCAGCAAACAAAAACACTGTGCCTGGAGATGTGTCTGCCATGGTTCCTGGTGGCATCAGGATAGGTAAAGATTCTTATTTTATAAAGAAATACTCATATCTTGTAATCTTTTCTGATAAATCCAAATGCACCCCAGGAACACCTGCTCTTACTTCTAGGGGATTTGTTGAGGAGGACTTTGTAAAGGTAGCAGAATACTTTGATGCTGCTGTGAAGTTGGCGGTGAAAATCAAGGCTGAAACACAAGGTTTATAATCTTAACATCCATTCTCTCAGGCTACAGTTTTGTCTGATCATCACTTGACTGTGCTGTATATTTCATATCATTCTCTTTTGGCTTTCTATCTGTGTTACTTTTACTTGAATCTGCCTCTTAATATTCGTTCCTCGATCCAATTAGCACTGTTGCTTGAATATACTGACTGTTGGTGCCATTCCATTGATATTTGTTAACCAGGAACAAAGTTGAAAGATTTCGTGACCACTCTGCAGTCTTCTCACTTCCAATCTGAGGTTGCAAAACTTCGCCACAATGTTGAGGAGTATGCAAAGCAGTTCCCAACAATTGGATTTGAGAAAGAAACCATGAAGAACAAGAACTGATAAATCCACCTTCTTCTGTGAGGTGCACAAGACTTACTGAGACTCAATGATCTTATTCTTCATAGCAACATTGTTTTTTTTTCTAAAAAGGAACCTTTCCTCAGTGAAATGCTATATCTTGAACCATGTTATTCCGTTTCCATTCCATTTCTCATCTTGTTCATTGATCATCCTTCTGCCTCGAACAGGTATCTGCACACCAGCCATGTTATTCTGTTTCCATTCCATTTCTCGTCTTGTTCATTGATCATCCTTCTGCCTCAAACAGGTATCTGCGCACCAGCACTAGTTTTCCTACTTGACAGTGGTGAATGATGAGTGAAACATAACCTTGTAGGCCACTTATGAAGGATGTGAATGTAGGGCTGTTACAATTAAACAATTGGGAGTATAGTTGAATGTATACATAACTACAAGTATCCACCAATGCTTTCTTACATGAATAAACCTCCAATGATGTCCTAAAGCAGCTTCCTCTACCTGTCTGCTTATGTTTAATTCGAATGATCGTTGTCAATACTATAATGTGTCAGGTCTTTATTAGTTGGGATATCGCTTTCTGTTCATCAATGTACATATCCCCTTCACCATGGAGAAAGTCTGGGGTATCACCGGGATACCACAGACGTGGTATCCCGGTCCAATTAAAAACCCCCACATCACCCTTTCTTTAACACCTCATCTATCAGCGAATGGAGGGGAAAACAAACGACAAACCCAAATTTAACTCACGGCAAATTTAACGAACGGAAAATCTTTCCAAAATGAAGTTCCCTGCGGGCTTTTTTTTCAGCATTTAACTCACTGCAAATTTTCCAAAATAAAATTTGTTTCCCGCTTTTCCCCATTTTCCCGCTTCTCTCATTTTCTTTCTTTTTTTCATTTCATTATTTTTGAGACTTTTGGTATTACAATCAATTATAAGCAAAAATAAAAAATATATTTATATTAAAGATTTTCCCTATTCCATCTAATTTGCTCTTCTTTTATGAATCAAAAATTGGACCTTCATCTTCTTGATTCTTTTCCAAAGGAGGTTTGCTTTCCATTCCCTTACTCTTTAGGCAATTCTATTTGTGAATTAGATTTATGTTCTTTTTCTGTAATTGATTATAATAGACATTATAAATTTTTTAATTTTTTAAAATTACAAATGATTTTATTCCCAAATACCTTTTATGGCTTCTAAGATTGGAAGTTCTTCATTTGGCTTTTTCAATGACATGCATTAGTTACTCATATTTAAATGATAATCTATTTCAAGAGTTAAATTTATACCGAAATAACACTCTTTGATTAAAAAGATGAGCTTTTGTTAATAATAAAAAAAGGAGAAAGTGGTTGCCAGGACTGCCAATCAATTCTGCATTTTTGGGCTCCCATAAAAAAAATGCCAAAATACATTGCAATTCTCTATAAAAATAAAAAAAAACAAGAAAATTTTCTTGTGAAAATGATACAAGACAATTTTTTTTGATAAAAAAGAAAAGAAAAGAAAAAACAAAGCAATTCTTGAATCTTGATGTTCCTGTTTTGTTTTTCTTCAGTTGTCAATGTGCCATGGCTAACTCCTTGAATGAGGTTTCCTAGATAATGAAAAGCCAACTTTTTTGAACTTTACATCTTAGTCCCATTCTCAATCTATATGTCATTGGTTTGAAGGTTTATAGGTTGCCCAGCTAACCAAAAATCAATGACCTGCATAGCAAACAAACTAAAAAAATTGACAAGAAAAGGCAAGAATTTCATCTTCTAATGCTATGGATGCAAGTTACATATTATCACCAATGGCATAGAAAAGGCACGCCAAACCTATATCCAATCAAGATGATATTAAGACTCAATAAAGGATCAACAAATAGAGTTATCCCAGCTAACAAAGAATGTCCTGTTGATGCTATAAGTCAGGAAATCCATAAAAAAACATCAAAACTTTGTGAAAAAGAACAAAATATTCCTCAAGCTTGGTTAAATATTGTCCCCCTGTAGGTAATCTTAACTTAGGAAATACATCAAACAGTTGGTGGGTATGAAAAATGTTTAATTTCTTATAACTAATCCTAACTATTCTTCCTTCAACTAAATCAACCAAATTAACCAAAAAGCATACATCCACAAATCGCACAAGCAAAACTTAGCAATTGCAAATTATTAATTGAAAATAGCTATACCCAAGCAAGAGAAAATAGTTAGTTTCACCAAGAAACTTGGCAATTGCAATTTCAAATTGCAATAGTTATGACCACTGAGTCTCTACAGATGCTGTGAAGAGAAGAATATGGTAGCTGTGTTCAGAAAAAAAAAAAAAAAGATAAAGGGAAAAAGACGCTAAAGGAAGGGCTGGGGAGATGCCAAAGAAAAAAGAGTGCTGAGAACTTTAGTTTGAAAAGATTTGCCCGTGAGTTAAGTTCGCCGTGAGTTAATTTAGATTTGCCGTTTGTTTTTCCTCCGTTATCTGGTTGATGAGGTGTAAAAGAAAAGGGTGATGTGGGGGGTTTTTAATTGGACCGGGATACCGCTGACGTGGTATCCCGGTGATACCCCAGACTTTCTCTTCACCATGACCGTCCACGTTATCCATACCGTGGGTCCTACCTTATGGGTCCTATCTTAGAGTTTTCTCGCACCGCTAAGTTGGTAAGAAATACATACAAGTAACTTAAATTACAAAAACTAGAAAGAAAAACGAAAATGGAACTTACGCTACATATTTCAAAGAGAATCATATTCTTCGTTCTACTTATAACCAACGTGCTCATGGCTACGCGCATGTCTCTGTCCCGTTCGATCCACCCCATCCTAAAGCGCTACCCTTTTTCTCGTTCCTTCCGTGTCCCTCAATCTTTTCCAAAGTCTCATCCTTGTCCCCTGTGGTCGTCTTCCTTCTCCTTCTGCCTTCAATCCCTCCACAAATCAACATCTCCTTCTACCTGCTTCTCTTCTCTCTCGTCTCTCTCTCCTCCTTCCATGGCTGCAGCGACTGCTGCTTCTCTCGGTGAGGATATCCAGGGCAACCCCCTTTTGCAGGACTTTGAGTTTCCCCCATTTGATGCTGTTGAAGCCAAGCATGTCAGGCCTGCAATTCGTGCCTTGTTGAAGACACTCGTATGTTCCTCAGATCCACTCTTGCTTTTCCGATTCTGGGTTTAAATCTTGATGAAGAGTTCCCACTAGTTTGTTCAATCATTTCATGTTTTCTGGTTTCAGTGTCTGTTTATTTGGGTTTTGGGTTTTGGACCTTAAAGGGGATTGCTTGCGTTTTGATTGTTTCACTTTTGGGGATTTGATATTTATGCGTACTCTGCAACTGGAAATGAATGATAGAGGTTTAATTGTGTTCTGGAATATAACTTTTTTTTTTCTTTTTCCTTTTTGAGTTTTATGGTTTGATTTTGATGGGATTGCCTGTTCCGTGAACAGGAAAGTGATTTGGAGGATTTGGAAAGGACAGTGGAACCATCGTGGCCGAATTTGGTGGAGCCACTGGAGAAGATTTTTGATAGGTTGTCTGTTGTGTGGGGGATAGTTAATCATCTTAAGTCTGTCAAAGATACAGCTGAGCTCCGTGCTGCCATTGAAGACGTCCAGGTATATTGTGGTCACAGTCAACTTGTTCTATTTAGTCATGGTTTAGATTTTACATTTTTGTATAGAATATACCAAGATGTATCTGCTAGAAGTGCCATCCTTTTGCGTGGAATTTGGGAGAACATGCTTTCGTCCCATACAGCTTTAGTTTGCATCATGCCATCTTCTCTATTGGAAGTCTTAATTTTGTTATATTTCTTTGACAAGTAACCGTATCAGGTAACATATCATATGGTAAACTTATTCCATTGTCTTAAGTCTTCTCAATGCAGGGCTGGTTCATGGTTGGGCCTAGAAAGATGGAATTCTTATTTGATTTAGAAGCCATTTGGTTTAGTAGATCTGAGGAAAATTTTATCCAATTATTTCTGGAACTTGATTAAACCTGCATTTGGTTCATGAATATGCATTCTTTTTTCCTTCCTCTTCATGGTACTTATGATACTTAGTTTTTCCTTACAGCCTGAAAAGGTGAAGTTTCAGCTAAGATTGGGACAAAGTAAACCCATCTACAATGCATTTAAAGCTATTCGAGAATCTCCTGATTGGCAGACATTGAGTGAAGCTCAGAAACGTATAGTAGAATGTGAGTTCATTATCTTCTTTATTATCATAATATGAACTGCCTTCATTTTCTTCTGACATATTGGGCTAGATAGATAGCAAAACTTCAACAGTTTGATTGCTATTTAGGAGAGGAACATGAAAAACCAGAGGGGAGGGGACTGATGGGTTGGGCTTAACAAATTTGGAGAGAATGACGTTGTGAGACCATTAAATTGATTAAAACTGCTTTTCTTAGTTGATCATTTTGTTTCTCAGATTTGGTGGCATATTTCTATACAAAAGCTACATCTGTTACCATGTGCTTCATTCATTCATTTAAGTGCCTTCTTTGAGTTGTTTGAAACTGCTTGATGATTTTCCTTTTTGTTTGTGTGCAGCACATATAAGGGACGCTATTCTAAATGGTGTTTCACTTGAAGATGATAAAAGAGATCAGTTTAACAAAATTGAACAGGTTCATTTCTAAATATTATAACTGAAACTCCGAGGGAATAAGTAGAAGAATATTTTTTTGGTGGCAATATGCCCATTATGTTGTTTCAAAGTCAATTTTCTTTTTTAAGAAAAAGTATGCATGATGCTGTGGTTGGTTGGTGGCACAACAGTGCATAACCTCACTACAGCCTGCAAGACAGCAGGTAACTGCAGAAGCAGTGATGGCTGAAATCCCTTGGTAGTTGGCAGGATTTTCTTCTTTTCTGCTTTTATTTTTGTAGATGCAGGTAGCTTTTTCTTTTTGGGTTTATTTTACCAACATGCTACAGTTAGTGATAGATGGTGGCCAGAATGTGCTACAGCTATTTGAACTTTATAAACTAATGATTCACACATGCACTTGGAGAGGACTTTATTAGTATATGATTATAACAAGACTGTTATTCTCGGATTTGTTCTGTAATACTAGGATAGACCTAAATGCATAGGATTGTCTTATTGATCTCTGCATTCTAGAAAGGTTTTTTCTTTCCCAATCAGCCTGCATTCTAGAAGGTTGGGTTGGTTTATTTTCTGTACTATAGCTTTTTTTGTTAAACATCATTGTTATGCTGATATTGGCATAAGAAACTTTGCTTTTCACCTGTTTTCTTTTCCCTTTATTTGCTTTGTAAATATGAAAGGGTAGATGTTGTACTAGTCTCTAAATTTGGTGGCTTATGTTTCTATTCCTATCTCTTTCAAAAAAATTTTGCTGTTAAATTTAGGAAGCATGTAGATTTTAAAGGGGCCAGATGGTCTCTATGCAAAACTTTCAAATTTTCTTTTCTAGTTTTCTTTTTCATTGTTGGTGTTATTGACTTATTGATGATCATTCCTTTCTGTTTACCATGTGTTGATTGCAGGAACTGGAGAGACTATCTCAGAAATTTGAGGAGAATGTTTTGGATGCCACAAAGAAGTTTGAAAAGTTAATAACGGATAAGAAAGAAATTGACGGGTTGCCAGCAACTGCTTGTGGGCTTGCTGCACAGACAGCAAAGTCTAAGGTATTCATTTTTAAATTATGGCACATGGTTGTAACATTTTAATAATCTCATTTATAAAGTCTAGTGCAGTTTCTTACTTCTTCTTTTTTATTAAATACATTATACCTTCATTTTTACCTAGGGGCATGAAAATGCAACTTCTGAGGATGGACCATGGATCTTGACATTGGATGGTCCTAGTTTTCTTTCTGTTATGCAACATGCTAAGAACCGTGCTTTGCGTGAGGAAGTATACTGCTCCTATGTAACCCGTGCATCTAGTGGTGATTTGGACAATACTCCAATCATTGATCAGATATTGAAGCTTAGATTGGAAAAGGCTAAGCTTCTCAATTACAATAACTATGCTGAGGTAAGGAGCATGACTTTATTTAAGAGTTCTTTGCTTTTACAGGTGTACTGAACTATCTTTTATCAGGTAAGCATGGCAGTGAAAATGGCAACCGTTGATAAAGCTGAAGAACTCCTTGAGAAGTTATGCAGTGCTTCCTGGAATCCTGCAGTCCAAGGTAGCTTGCAAAATATTGTTTTTAATGGGTACAAATGGTTCTAGTCTTAAGATCTTCAATCTATAAGGGGTATCTAGTGCTGATAAAATAAATAAATAAATAAATAAGGGGTATCTAGTGCTAAAAACAGTTTTACTGTTTCAAAATGAATAGAATTTATGTGGGATATTCTGTTCATTTTAATTATTTTAAACTTCAACTTTAATTGGAAATAACAATGTTTTCTTATTTTATAAATAGTATCATAAAATGAAACTCAGCTCCTACTTGATGTTATCTAATGGCTAAGATTCATCCTTTATGCTGCATCCTGGTCTTTTTTGTGTTCCCCTAGAGATCCATTGATAAAATTTTAGAATTTAAATTCTATAAGTGTTATGTATGTCGTGCTTGTCATGTCATGCTTTCCTAAAATGTTTTCTACATTTATAATTGTTCTTGATGCAAACTTTTCAATTTTTTTGATGGCAAAACTTTCCCAATTAAAAAATTGTGGACATTGAGCTAAATGATTATTTATTTATTATTCAATCTTTGTAGATATGGAGGACCTTAAGAGTTACTCTAAAAGTCAGGGTGCATCTGAAGCTGATAGTTTGAACCATTGGGACATAAACTTTTGGAGTGAGAGGCTTCGGGAATCAAAATACAGCATCAATGAGGTTCTATCTTGACCCCTTTCCATTGAATTCAATAGGTGTTAGACTAGAGGCACTTGACAAGGTTGCCATGTCATCTAATCTAAGATCTTTTTTTCTGGGTTTGTGTGTGTACATGCATGTGCACTTTTCATCTATATTTTGAGCTTCATTTATGCGGTTGATCCGCTTCCCATAGTGATACTTATTTTTTTATCTCCCAGTCAATACTATTTCTCGTTTTATATATATATATATATATATATATGAAAAAGTATAGCACAGTCCAGACTGTACTGGACTGCACTACATTAGCCATTGGATGGGGGTTGGGCCCCCTGATATTGGGGCCCTTGCCCCCATCCAATGGTCCCTATATTACAGTCTGGTGCAGTCTGGACTGTAAAC